GGGGGGGAGGAGGGCCACGCGGTGCGGCAGGTGGCGTCCCGTCCGGCAGTGCTGTCGCCTGTACTCCTATCAAGTTTGAACCTTCTCGGTTCGCGGCGAAAGGAGTTGTGATTTTCCAAAATGTTTCCATAAAGCATTGCATTTTTCGAGAACGCCCCGCCCACCGGGAGTAGGCTCCCTAGCTCGACCTGGCTTACCAATGCACACCTCTAGCCACCTTTGCACCCCAATTTTGAAGCCGTTTCGTGACTGAATTTGTAACCATGGTCCTCAGTTCAGATCATTTCGACGCACGCCAAGCCCACTGTGGGCGGGGACCCGCCGAGCTGATGTGTGCTTCATACTTCTCGGGACATGGCCCACCCACCCCACGCTTGACCCGGTCTCTCCAGGCAGTTCTAAAGGAGCTAAGGAATTTCGTGACAGACATACATAACGACAGACGAAGCAGAAGCGCTTTACAGTAAGTAGGATGTCGTAGATCGGGCACCCAGGTGCGCACCAGGGATGTCTTGTGAAAGAAGCTTAGCGAGAAAAGGTCAGCAAGAAGTGAGAACCGAAGTTTGAGTACTGGGTGAGAGTTGCGATGGTCTCCGTCAGGACTCTTTTGGGTCAGACATTGATGTTCGATGTTGATGCTGTTCTATATCAAAGATCTGATTGTTGCACAAGAGGGACAACTTCCATTGTTTTTCTTGAGAAGTGATCACCCAGTCTCCTCAGTAGTCCATACCATAGAAGGCGTTTCTCTTCCGTCTTCAACTAGATAGGGGCTGACTGCACGGCTGACCGCCCTGACTTCTTCCTTTATCACCCCGTCCAATCGCATCCAATCACATGTTCATCTCAACATTCTCATATTGCAGATTGAAATCGTCTCCTATAATTCTTGTGTTCAAACCAGTATTGGTTGCCGTAAAGCATTGTAGGCCTTATCACTTAGTTATATACATTCTTTTGAGGGCACTGGAGCAGTGTCGGTCGCGCAGGGTAGTTACTGGACCCCATCGACTTATCCACAGCCTTCACAGAGCCTTCATTCAAAGATCCACAGCCTGATTCACGCCAATATAGGCAGCTAGGTCACTCTCCCCAGGTATCGGAAGCTCTGCACCCTTTATGGCTTCCCCATGTCCGTCTATGATTGATTTCGTGCACTCCGCGGAGCTGAGAAAAATGATTTTCTTCACGTTCAGCTGAAGCACATTCTGTACCAACACTTTCTGCCATCTCTGCAGGCTGTCCTGGAGTTCTTCTCTGCTATCTGCTTTTAAAGTAATGCCATCCAGAGAATGTTTGCCACTGATCCGTCCATGAGTTTCTTTGGTACGATATCCATTGTAACCAGGAAGAGGAACGGGCTCAGAGCTGATCCCTGTTGTATCCCAACCGTGACGTCCATAGCGAGACGACGTTCTAGGTTAGGGACGCCCACAAGTGATAGGGCGCTCAAGCAGCTCAAGAAGCATGGTTTGCAACCTACCGCAAACGATGGTAAGGGTGAGACGTTGGTTCAACCGCTTGCTCGCGTACCTCTCTATTACCCTTTATTACTCTCTCACATTTATTGTTTATTGCTATTGCCCTTTATTATTGCTGAAGCCATTTATTGCCTTGAGATGTTTCACACATCCTACTGAATATAATTCGCTGAAAAAGCCTATCGGTTTCACAGTGTGTGTATGTCGAGTGAGTATTTGACCGGAGATTCACTCGACTCCTGTTCTTCTGAAATTTGAGATTTTAGTAGCACCCAGTTTGTTCAATGTATTTAGGAGCGCCTTGTTGAATCTTACTCGTAAACAAATTCAGACGCAGGGACACACAACCAAAGCTTGGGATGCTTCTCGCTTGATTGCGAGATATTGCCTGACCTTTACTGCTTTGTCCACATCTGCTTTATCTGCTTCAGCAACATCAGTTATCAGCTTGTTGGTAGCTGGATGAAAGGTTTTGAACGTCTTCCCGCTAGCTGCATCAACCCACTCGTTGTTTATGAAGAGCTAAAAAGGATAGGGCCAAATAGGAAATTATTTAGCGAAACAACTTCCTCCAATAGTCAAATGAACTTACTTTGGTGAACTTTGGTTCAACATTACTGATGGCCGGAGGAGCAGAACTGGCTCTTCGAAGCTGAGGCGACACACGCGATAGCAGAGTTCGCAGCATTACCTAACGACGTATGTGAACACTGGAAGTTTTATGTTTACACTAATTTGTGCAACTGATGTATCATTGGAGGAGTTTTCCAGTGGAAGCTGTCAACCTCCATGCTAGCACAGTCCCTATTGATTTATTTTAATTGTATATTTACGACCACCAAGGAACGTGCAACGCCTAACGGGACATAATGCGCCGAGAAGTTGTGGCATGCAACTAAACTTGTCCCTCTTTTTTCATGATTTGGAACAACGCTTACGTCTCTGACAACTGTTTGATCAATTCCTCAATATCTCCGTTGAACCGGAGAATTTCTGCTCTTTTTATTTTCGGAGCCAGCCTCGTTCGATGCAGCGTTAAGAACCAGGACAGTTCAAGGAAGCCAAGCAAACTCAAAGCTTAGTAACAGATACAATTTCACCTACTGGCAAATGTGATTAACTCAAAATGAATATTTCCTCCACCCAACTACCTTTTGATAAGGGTTTAGATATTATTCTACCAGAAAGACTTTTCATGTACGCTCTCTCCTTTTTGTGAAGTAGTCAAAGCTCTCCACTTAGCTACTCTACTGAAGGGTAATCCTTATTCCGATATAACTAATTTAACCTTTTGAATTCTTCACCTGAACGGCTTCCTTGATTTCACAATTGAGCTAAGTTACTCGAGCAAAAAACCAGCAAAAAGGAATCTTGCTCGAGTAAAAAGTATAACTCGAGCCAGATTCCACTCGTGGCAGGATGGGCGCTCACAAAGTGTGTGACGGTGCGTGTGTGTGTTTGTCTTCAGATTCATAGCTCTGGTTCTCTGGACCAGAGCGTCCAAATTCGGAAGGAGAGGAAGGACAGGTCAACCTCAACACGGAAAGAGGATAACCCGCGTGAGTCGGGCGATCTGGTGTGGCAGTGTGCTGTAATAGCAATTTGCAATCGCTCTTTGCTAATTAAGCTTTTCTGGTTTCTTGGTACATGAAAGAAGGATACACGAAAAATTACGGTGAGACCGGACCTTAGCTCAAATAGTACTCCTCCTCGTGCTGTCGACTCCCTCAAGCTCGTGACCATCTTACTCGTTCGTTCATTGCAGACGCATGAATTCGATTTACATCGCCCGACTGCAAGTTTTCGCAAACGATGCATAACTGCTTTATACTGAAATTCATTCATTCTTCTTCACGACTGGTCAAGCTAGGTGCATGAGAGCGAATAACAGTGGCAACCAAACCTACCACTAAGTTTCAAGCAGTGAGCAGTAGAGTATATATTCATCCGGCATCGCAAACCGTCGGTTGACCAGCAAGATCAATAAAAAGCTCTTCTCGTGAAGAATCCAAATATTAGGTTGATGCATAATTATTGCGAATTTTTTTCAGCAAATTTTGTTTAAAAGAAAGGTGAAAATATTTAACAAATACATGTTCAAATAATTACTCCGGAACGTATTCACCATCTAATTCAAGCACTGCTTCCCATTTGCTAGGCAGCCGGATTCCACAGACAAAGAAGTTTCGGTCCTTGGAGGCGACCCTTTGACATCGGCCACCAAGTCTTCGACTTCGTCGCAAGGCCTGTTTGCTAGCCAGTGTTTCAACAAACGTGTGACGTGATAACTTATAGGGTTTCTATAGGTCAATATGGAGACTTAGTAGCAAATCTTAGTCCTCAGTTGGCTTTGGCTGACAACTCCATCGCCAAGAAGTTCGTTGATACCGCGTAATGAGTGTGCCACCTTCCATCATTTCTCGAAGTAATAGAGCATAATGTGGCGAGTAAGAAGATGACTTTCTAAACATATTTCTATTAAGGAAAGCGAGTAAATCATTTCTACAAAACCCCTACTTCGATACTGAAATTGTATGGAGAGAAAAGAAGCCGCAATAATTATGCATCAAGCTATTATATAATAATCTTTCGGTTTTCTCAATTTTTCGCCTTCCTTTCCGGGGAAAACGACACTTGAGCCCCTCAGCATCTGGGGTTTTACTTGCGGATATGACAGCATCGTAAACCCTCGACATCAATTGAAAACTTCGTTTCCAGTATAGTATAGATATTTGAATTATTGAAATTGAATTCTTGACCCACATCCATGATCTATTATGTGATAATTGTAAAATATAGGCGCTTTTTCGCAAAAGGTTCGTAAAGGTGCATGGCTTCCCTGGATGTTAAATGATGTCAAAGTCACAGGACTACCTTCGAACCATTATCTTCTATAAGTGGTGTTGCAGCACTGCAGCGACAGTAGCAGTCCAAAACATCAACAGCGCTTCGGGAGAGGAGATTACCACCATCGTAACATAGCTGGCTGCTCGCTTCGCAAAAGGAGATACGAGCTTCGAATCCTCGGCCGAGACGCCCCCATGCAATACCCCATGAAGACTCCTCCGTTCTCGGCGCTGTAAAGAGGATCCGGAAGCCGCTGCCTTGCGACAGGGTTAGGTGTACCCAATCCATACGGTTAAACGCCTCAAAGCACTAGACCACCGAAAACTGCTGCCTCGGGGGCTCCCTCACACGTTGGCGGATGGTACCCGGGTATACATATGACAATCTTTCCTTCTCGCTCGCATCGCAAGTTTACAGAAGGGTCGGATCCTGACTTCTGAGATGAGAATCGGAGCCTCTATCACTACAACTCTGGGGCTCGACGGGAATGCTGTATAACTACTACTATAAACTGCTCCCGCTGCACGGCACCGCTTCCACTTACGGCACTCAGCTTCAGAAATCGCGGAAGCCATTCGAAAAATAACTGCCGATACGAACTTCAGTGGACCTTCTCCATAGAAACGGCTAAGCAAGCGTAGTTAAAGTTACCTTTCAAAAATTGAGGAGCTAGACTGGAAATCGCACCTGATCCTCATTACTGTCCACCGTAGCCCCTCTGATTATTACTTGTGACAACTCCTGAAGGATTTCTTGGCTAACTCGGACTGTCGCATACTCCATCGACTTGCAGTCTCCCCAGTTCTGGGGAAAGGGGATCGCAGACGTGCGCAGTGGGTGGACCACAGTGGTGACTACTTATTCTGATTATATTGCTCATTGATTCCGATTGTTTGCTGAACGAAAAAATAAAGAAGAAAAAAGTGAAAACCGTGTCAAGATTATTCAATCAACCTAATATTTAGAATTCTCCCACCGTCCCTCACTTGTGAAAAATAGAACAACTTTTTTGTATTCATCTTCATCTAGGAAAAAAAAAAACTAGCACAGCAAATGACAAGGTAAAAGTAATATGTATGCGAGAAACTCGTTGAGAAGAGCAAACAAGTGACGAACGGACCAGATTGGCTCAGCAAATATTTTTCGGATTAAAAATCTCGATCCAGTAGCCATCTGGATCTTGAATGAACGCAAGCCCTTTCATTGACCCATCCTGCGGTTTCTTCACAAACTTCACGCCCATTTTCTCGAAACGCTCGCAAGCCTTGTCAACGTCTGGCACAACAATTCCAATGTGACCTGAACTCGATTTTAAACTGTACTCAGGACAACATGCCTTGGGGATCAAAAAAGACTAACCAAACCCTCTTGGTTCCTTGTTACCGTTGTGATAGCTGAACTCAGGCTGATTTTCTGTTCCCCAATTGCTGCAAAACAACAACTAATATACAACTAATTACATCACCTCCCCTAGGGCTTTGATTTGTAAATAGTAGAAAGCAAACAATTTCAAAACATACTGAGTCAGCTCAATGGTAGCCAAGGCCGAAAGTGCAAAGCGGTTCCTTTCCACTTCGTCTTGAGGAATTTCATCAGCTTTTCTGTAGCCCATAAAGTACAACGAAAACTGACCCCCAGAGAAATCCATTTGCTTGAGCAATCTGAACATGTCCATCATGACGTATCTTATTTCGAGACCGAGCAAAATAGCAATACATAGATGTAAAAGACATAATGAATACAAATCATAGAGCAGATGGCTTTGCTATCAGGCCTCTAATCGAATACAAAACAACTTGGTAAAAATAGTAACTCTTGCCGCAACAGATCAACCTTGCTAAATCTTTCATGAAAGAATTTCAATTAAAAAAATGTTTCGGGTTGCTCTGATGTAAGGTGACCTGGTACTGAAATTCCAAGGTTGAGTTGAGCATCGTGGCTTTTTTTTTCATAGCGTTTAAAGCTATGTAAAAGACTTGAAACAGAAAACAAATATGTCTTAGCAGCTAAAAGCCATCGAAGCTTTCAAGCGCCTCAGCAAAGAGAAAGTGAAGAAACCATCAAAAGATTCACCATGTTGTCGAAAACTTCCAACATGGTGCAGCGAGTCGACCTAATCAATGAAAGTAACATCCGCACCTGTACCATAAGCAGTGTGACCGCAGAGTAGTTAGGCTTTTGCTGGTTTATTTTTTACCAGTGTCGAAGTACTGCCATTACAGTACAGTAGAGATCACAATTTGAATCATCCACCTCACTTCATATTACTCACTTCACTCCGCAGTGCTCACTTTACTCCATTAGCCTACCCACAAAGTGACTGCTTTTTATATAAGAAGAATAAGTTTTCCATATCACTACCTTTATCATAATCACAAAGTAACCCGGACGGACAGACCGACAAACCGACATACCGACATACAGACAAACCGACATACCGACAAACCGACAAACCAAGTTACTGCTTTATATATAAGAAGGATTATCATAACAGAACTATATTCACAAATGTTGAAAGTAAAGTTGGTAGATGAGCCTCACAACATGGGAGCGGCCGAAGGCAACGAAGGCAAGTGTTGGCTCGAAATGGAAAAATAACACTTCCGCAGCAAGAGCCCAGCGAGAGTGTATTCACTATTCGCCTTTCCTCCTACCCTAAGAATAGTACAGCACCTGTGCAGCTGCGAGGATAGCAATAATTAGCACATCTTTGCATGATGTTTTGGATTTGGTCGGTAATTGAAGTCGCATTTGAATTACTCGAAGTTAATAGGGTAATAGTTCTACAGCTCTTAGTCAAGTCAGTCATACTTCCTTTAGCGAACACAATAAACGTGTTGAAAGTTAAATTGGGGAGGTTGTTTGAAATGTCACAGTTACATAGCATCTCTTTATCAGAAATGAAGCACATTAGCGAAAACTTCCACATTGGAGGAAGAGCAAGCCCATATATCACTTCGTGGGACGAATATATAATCAAACACCGCAGCGACGATCATTGTATAACTGTAACCCCTTCATTTCAAGCCCACGATATCTGCGAGTAATCCATCTCAGCCTAGGGTGAAGAAATTCATTTAGCATTTGGTCCAAATATATGTTAGCAATGTATCAGATTATCTATTCGTCTAGGTCACTATTGAAAGTGGATCCTTGAAGAGTGGGTAAGAAATCCCACAAAGCGAATACCGAATCCCGCCAAAATATGCCACGTTCCTGGTTCTTGCTTCTTGTTAGGATTTCCTATCTTTTTAAAAACTGTTATTTCCTCAGCGGATGCCGCGCTTAGTTTTTTCTAGATGCGCTGCCTCAAAATGGATAAAGTTTGAATAATGCCCACTCGAATCGTTTCTTTACCTCACCACTCTGGAGACCACTCCACTGAAAATAAAACAAAATGGATACTGCACAGAAGTGCTCAAATGGAAAGCTTAAAATCAGTATTTCGACTAAAGCATTGAAAAAAAAGACAACTTAGAATGGATCTAACATTCACCTCATTCCAAGCACCTTAGTGTAGAAAGGTAGAGATTTTCTTGGATCTTTGATACGAAGCATTGTCTGTTGAAAATAGAACCCTTCCGTTTCTGGAGCTGGTTCACCAATGAGCTCAGCTACCTGAATATATTGTAACTGCAATTACACTTAGAAGATTGATCACATCACAAATTGGCCGGACTGAGCAATGCTGACGGCAGTTTCGAGCAGAGCTGGTTCATACTAACCTTTGTACCCTGTAGAAACCAAGTAAGCTTCACTGTAAACTACAAACTTAACGAGTTCGAAGCCTGTGCAGTATAAACACAACGAACAGAAAAAAGAAGGGAAGTAAGGTCGACTCAATGAAAGAAACACCTCCGCTGCTAAATGGTATTCCGCCTGATTTCCTCGAAAGTTGGGATCTTTGCAGCAGCACACGCAATATAAGTTAAAAGATTAGCGTGATCTGCCCTTGGTACGGAAAAATAGGCAAAACAAGTATAAATTGCAAGATGGATCGCAGTGAATACGCGGAACACATGAACTTGTTGCAGCGAAAGCAACCCTTTTCCGTTCTAAGTGCATTTGAAGCAAATCAAACGAATTCCAGAACAACCACTGATGAACATGCCTCAGATGGGAGGAGAGGCTTGGGGCTGGCCTTATCTCCGCTGTCTTGTCCTTCTCCAACCATTTGAAAGGCTCTTCGGTTAGAGTTCGATAAAATTCTATAATATATTCAAAAAGAAAAGAAAACTTCAATGCAAATGAATCATATCAACTCGAAGGGTAGAAGCGTAGAAACAACTTAAACCATCACCTGCCCACTTGGAATCGGGATTCACTTCTTCCTGAATAGAGCAGTAGCCAAACAGGAACAGGAAACCTGTGAAGACGAGAAGAGAATTCTAAAAAACGCTTTGTTGTGCTGAGCATTTCCTAAAAATCCACCAAGTAGAAACTCAAAATACACTAAATGTCATCGACAAAAGGAAGAACCGAACGCAAGTTGGACGGTAGTACTGCAAAAGGGAACGAGACAGTTGTTTTAAAAATGTTTCCACATATAACATAATACAGTGTAAATACGTTTCGAACAGTGTAAGCAAATCGCATACAGACTGCTGTGTTCCTAAGAAATATAAAGTAGAAGCAGTGCCACTAGGCAATTTAGAAGCATTGGCATGTTTCAGAGTGGGGTACCGTTGATATGCATCAAAAACTGCGAACCCTTTTTTCTGGACTACTACCCGAGTAAACACATCCTGTCTCGATTAGTCTTTCATACTCGGCTTTACACCTCATTAATCGAAATTAAAAACATCGAAACCAGAGTCATTCTCAAAACTTGCTTTGAACATAGACGCACTGGTCTTCTTGTTGCCCCCCTATGGCGACATGATGTACAGCCTGCTTTTTCGAACGTACATGGAATAGAATCATAAACATAAACACTATACGGAAACATGACAAATCCTATGAGGAAACGCTAGTAAAGCCCGAAATGCACTGATCAGAACTATGGAAAGATTGATCTGCCGTGGGCCATTATCTTGAGGTTTAGTTTTTTTTTTTTCAGAATATGACCGCCATTCTTGTGATGGCACGGTTATGCAATGTATAAGTAAAAATCGATGAGCGGAAACAAGAATATTACATAATGGAATGACTAACACCACCAAATCGAATGACGTTGGATATGGTAATCCAATAATGTTCAGTGGAAGAACCAGTGTTTTTTGATTACCACAAAAATATACGATTTGCCTTCTAGTATAAATTAAAATTCAAAACAGGCTGCTTACCATTGGTCTAGCAACTATTATTGTGTGTGGCATCGTCAGTACCTCTATCATACTATCAATATCATGAGTTGTGCTGTTTGTGTGGAGAAATAACAATCTGTCGTTGCACAAAACCCCTACCGCATAGCAGCACACATATGGGGCACGAAACACGAAACAGAAAATAGGTCTTCTGCCACACAAAAAATTTTTGCAGGAGCACGATAAAAGGCTAAAAAAGCATCTACCTGCTTAAACGAAAGTTTTTTCCCTCCTTTCGGAAGACGTAGCTCAGTGACTTCTCTCCAAACAGATTGACCTTTAGGACCTCGAATAATTATTCGAAGCAATGACGAGAAGCGCATAAAAAAACCTCCACAGCTGGTGGTTTTAGCAGAGGAAACGACTTTGAAATCAAGGGAACTTCCAGAGTTCAACGACGTCCGTCGAAAGCAGCGTTGCCAAATACACGTTGACAGCGCTGGACATCGTCCGTTAGTTGACGTCCGCGCCGCTCTGACGGCTTTTGCGTTAGAGCACGTTGTTTTCCGGTGAACAGATCCGGACGGCGGCAGCGCGGACGTGGCCCTAGGTCCTTGTAAATATGCATTCCACGACTCTAGAAATGCCTTAGGCTTAACGTGTGTGATAGTATGTAGGAAAACACAGAAGCGTCTAAACCATATGAAGCCTGGGTGCTGCGATAACACTCTCACGAATTGATATAGTGTATAACAACTGTCTTCGTGGCACACAGCATTTGTGACCTAATTTTAGACATTACAACAGAACGAAAAACATATAACAAGTGTTACCCACGACCTTACGCAATGCTTGACCAAGAAGTAGGTGCTAGTTCGTGCTGAAGCCGCGATATTAAGACCTACGAGTACTATGAAGACTTGAAGACTTTGAAACCACTAATCTCGACTTAGCAAACCTCGTGGATCATACAATTGAAGAACCTGAAAATGAAAATCTCTTTCTCGCTTTTTCATTATCGTAAGTCGAGAGGGTGCAGACCCCACGATGACGGAGCCGAAATGAAGGGGCAACACCTCATCGGATGTCGAGCTGGGCCGTGTTGAGAAGTCTTGTGTCAGTCTTAAAGTCCCGTGAGCGTGCGATACAGAAACCCTTCTATGCCCCATCACCCACTCAGTGGGTCTCACCCAGAGTACCTTTTTTGCGTCGTATATGTGAAAGGTGTTTGGCTACTTTCATAGTCCGCCGGCCGGGGGACTACTCGTCCTGCGGTATCTATTAAGACTCAGTTGTAAACAAGGGCCAAGAGCCGCCCCCGGCCGGCGGACTATGAAAGCAGCCTTTGGAGATGCTTGAGGGTGTGTTCGTGTTACTGTGTAACACATTCACGGGACTCGAATCCGTCTTGTCGGGAAGTCACGTTATGTCAGGGACCTGCATGCGGCGTCCCGTAGCCATAAGTACGAATTCCAAGTCGCAAGCTACAAATTTTTTGTAGTGGTCTTACTTTTGCGACCAAGTACATCCATTAAAACAATCAAAGAACCACAACAATCACGAGAGCCGGACTCATATTCATTTTTACTCACCGCAGCGGTCTGGAATTGCGTATCAAGAGAGAACACAATGTTACAGGGCTGATGCCAACACATATTTTCTTGAGGAGAAGCCGCGTCAGCGTGCTGAGTCTACCAGCGGAGGGAGGGCGCGTTCGTTCGTTGTCCGTACTCTCCTCCAAACACCTCTCTCATCAAGAGTGGGCACGCGAACGGGTAACCAGTGGTTGCTTTCAGACCTCGACGTCCGCCCGTCCGTCCGTCCGACCGACGCGTGCGTGCTGCAACGGCGGCGCCTGACCTTTGTTGACAACACTGTATCCCGTGCCAGCGCTGTCAACACTACTCTAGCGACCGACGTCGCAGCACGCACGCGTCGTACGGACTGACGGATGGACGGACGGACGTCGAGTGAAAGCGGCCAGTCGAAGATGGATAGAAAGGGATACTTCATCTAACTATGAAGACTTCATAATTTGAAATGATAAATGAACAGAGAAGGTTTGGGAAATGATCAGTATGTTGTATCACGATAAGAGTTAACGCTGGTTGATCACTTAAAGTACTCTGAGAGAAGTAAAGGCCTAATGTTTGACACAATATCGATAAAATAACTGCATAGAGCCCCTACATTGTTAAAGATCTATGTAGCATTGCAGAAGATAACTTCACATCTATTAGCTAATTCTTTGTTATATGGGTGAATACCGAGATCAACGAAATCATTCAAAGATCTGCAGTGACAAAGAATTGATCTATACCCAACAAGTTGTAGCGTTCGCTATGTATTATAAGGTCTCGTTAACAGTAATAGGCAACGAGGGAGGACGAGTTCTTTCGACTGGACTGCATGCCCCTCGAGGAGTGACACCTAACGAAGAGAAGAATAGAAAACGGCAAAAGCACTGCGCCACCACACAGTGTGGGAACTTTCCCGGAACGGCTCGTCGCGCTCGCTGCACCTGCCGCGAATCGCAGAAATTGTTGATTGGAGCAGGAAATGTGTGAGTCAAATTTGTGATGGATGGTTTGATGGCATTAATTTTTCCGAGTTAAATCTTATTTTCCTTGTGAAGCCTCTTTTGATCATTTATTATTGAATAAAGAACACGGAAACAACTAGAAAAAAAACAATTAGAACAATGCAGAAAAGCAGAGCAAGTAACAAAGAAGGGCCCTATCGTTCGGGAGACGGGGAGTAGGATCGATACAAGACGGATTTAATCGTGCCGTGATTGTGGTACACAGTAACCCGAACACATACTTACGCGTCTCCAAACACCCTCTTATATACGGCGCAACAACAGCTCTAGCGTTCTTCATACAGCTCATTCGATATGCGATCGTTAATTCAGGCATGATTCTACTGTTAGTTCTTTTGTTCCTGTATTCCTTCTCTTGCGCGCGGCGTCTCTCTCGTCGCGAAGCGACAATTTCGATCCTACTGCACCACACCCTTATCGTTTAGGGAGTGGGCGGACTGGATACGATAATTGCAGTTTGAAGCAGCGGGACAATTTAAAGGGGTCTGCCAGCCTCCACACGCTGTTGACAAGATCGAGGAGCTACCCATCATACGTGCCACATATTCGCTGTCTTCAAACACCCGCCTCATCCTACTTACTATGAAGCGCTCCGTCTGTCGTCTGTCGTCTGTCGCTATGTATGTCTGTCGCGAAATTCCTTAGCTTCTTTAGATCTGCCTGGAGAGACCGGGTCAAGCGTGGGGTGGGTGGGCCATGTCCCGAGAAGTATAAAGCACACATCAGCTTGGCGGAGCCCCGCCCACAGTGGGCGTGGCGTGCGTCGCAATGATCTGAACTGAGGACCATGGCTACAAATTCAGTCACGAGACGGCTTCAAAATTGGGGTGTAAAGGTGGCTAGAGGTGTGCATTGGTAAGTTAGATCGAACTAGGGAGACCCACCCCCGATGGGCGGGGCGTTCTTCAAAAATGCAATGCTTTATGAAAACATTTTGTAAAATCATAGCTCCTGTCCTCGTGGACCTGGAAAGTTCGAAGTTGGAAGGAGTATAGGTGGCGGAATTAGAGCACTCATGGTGGGTAGCAAAACCGGGCTCCTCCAACAACGGGCGGGGTTCGAGCAGAAATTCACAACTCCTGTCCCTGTGGACATAGAAAGTTCAAATTTTGTAGGAGCACAGGCGACAGGATGGGAGCATTTGTGGTGGGTGGCAGGACCAGACTCCGCCCACAGGGGGCGGAGTTTGAGCCGGAAACTCATAAACCCTGTTTCTATAGACCTAGAGCGTTCAAGTTTGGTAGTAGTGCAGGCGGCACATAGGAACATTTATGCTGGGCGGCAGGACCGGACTCCGCCCACAGTAGGCCAGTGGGCGGGGTGTGA